CATCCCGTTGGACTCAGCCCATAGCATGCCATAGCAAAACATAGATCTGGATGCTGACTTTCAGGTGCCTCAATCTAGATGAGAGGAATCCTAACTGCTCTGTTGGAGTATTTTCACATTATCTGCCCAAACCATTTGTTTTTCCCCAGTAAATTTTATTATTTTTTAAGTTTTTCTCTCTTTATATGAACTCTTTTTTAATAAGGCCATTCGTTAGGATAGGCAAAGCCCATTAACAGCTGGGTTTGGGAGATAGCAATGATGAACTCTGACAGAGCTCACAGAGTATTTTCTCATCTGGTGTCTTGCTGTCCTGAATCTCCACACTCTGCAGAGCTCATGAGACTCGAACTAACATCCTGTATTTCTTCCATTTCAGCTTCCCTTGCAGGAGTCCTGCTGGCAGGTCAGTATTTGCAGTAGAGAGTGGAGCATGAGTCTGCACACAGTTACCACAAAATGTCATGTAGAATGATGCTGTGTTTCATCTGGGGATATAAATATACTGCTCAGGGCCAAAAGCCCTTGGTCTGAAACCTGTTTCTGTGCCCAGTGATCTCTCTGTAAACCACATTCTCCTGATCAGCCAATGGAGAAGACCCGACTCCAACTCCTGTGTGCCCTGTGAGGTGCATCTGGTACCTGCTGGAGATCTCTGGCCAAAAGGAGCAGTACTGATCCAAAACATTGACAAAACAGCTGCTCGTTTGAGCAAAGTTCAACCAAAAGTCGGGATATCCCCAATGTGGGCGTCTGATCTCCATGAGATGGAGGAATACCTGGTGTTCCCTTGTCTCCATGAGCCAGTGTGGAGGTGCTACAGAGTTTCAGACCCTGCTGCTTTTCAGTCCTTCATTTTCTTCTGCTGCTGCACCCCAGATGCTTACAGTATCCGGAGAGATTTGGTTCTTGGTGTTGGGGCAGTAAATGCTGTTATGACCAGGGAGTTAGCAATGGGAATTGGGCTCCCACATGCCAACTGTCTATAGGTTCAGCATCCAGCAATCACTGCCAATAGATGAGCAAACCCAATCCTTCTCTCGGGGAATGGGTAGAAATGTCTCAATTCTCTCCCTCCTTCCAGTCATTCTAGCAGCATTTGCTGGAAGACCCTGGCCTTAACTATGGGGAAACATCCAGAACCTGAAGGCTGGGGTAGGTTAGGGGAGGGTGAAGGGGGGCTACACCTGTCCATTTATAGCTGAAAATGAACCCTGAAAATGGACTATGGTCCCACAAACACCTGTGGCTTTTGGCCATTCCCAGCTTAAAACCTAATTCATGACCACCAAGGATTTGGGATGCTAGAATTCCCTGGGTTTTTCATCCTCCTGGTTTGGCAATAAAGATAGCCTCTCTGGGGGGTAAAAGAGCCCTATTCTAATTCCCTGCCTTCAGCCTGGCATGTCTGTTCTCTCCAGAAGGTGTAAACACAACCAAACTGGGGATCCGCCTCATAGGCGGTGCCAACCAGTGCTCTGGGAGAGTCGAGGTGCTTCACGAGGACGTCTGGGGGACCGTCTGTGACGACCAGTGGGATTTACGGGAGGCAAAGGTGGTGTGCCGACAGCTGGGCTGTGGGACGGCGCTATCAGCCCCTCGGGAGGCTAAATACGGGGAAGGGAAAGACCAGATCTGGCTGAGTGATGTGAACTGCAAAGGGACAGAAGCGTCCCTCGACGAATGCAAGGCGAAGCCGTGGGGAGACAACATCTGCAACCACGTGGAAGATGCCAGTGTGGAGTGCTCAGGTAACCCCCCAGGTGTTTTTGGCTTTGTGCCACATTGGCCCTTGTGCCTCAGATAAGCCAGTCTGCAATTTCTGACCCATCCATTGAGATCAGGGATGCAGAACAACTTTGTTGAGCTCCAGCTTCCTATCCCAATTGACCCAGAGAAGCTGCAGCACAACTACTGGACCTGGAACAACCTGCAGAGCTGAAAGTGGACACAGATAGTCCCCTCCCCCGAAAACCTCAATCCTGATATTATTTTCCCTTCAACACTTCTCATGCCAGAAGTTTGAAAGGGAGCCTTTGACAGGCATTTGGGAGGAGCAGAGACAGTTTTGGTTCCTCAGGGGAGATTCTGCTTTCTCCAGGTGATCAGGAGTACAGAGACTTATCCCAAAACTTCTCTCATCTTTCTTTTTGACAGGAACAGAAATACCTGAGCCAGGACCAATTCGGCTGGTGGGAGGCCCAAACCGATGTGCCGGGAGGGTTGAGGTGCTTCATGAAGAACAGTGGGGCAGTGTGTGCCATGATGACTGGGATCTAAATGATGCTCAAGTCGTGTGCAAGCAACTGGGCTGTGGGGATGCTGTTCTGGCCCCCACTGCAGCCAAGTTTGGACGAGGATTTGACACTATCTGGCTGGATGATGTGAACTGCACAGGCATGGAAGCTGCTCTCTCTGAGTGCACAGCAAGGCCATGGGGGGAACACAATTGTTTCCACGGAGAAGATGCCAGTGCAATTTGTTCAGGTAATCCTTCCATTCTCTGCCTTTTGCCAGCCATGCATTAGGGTGTCCTCACAGTTAACATAGGCACAACCTTGCACAAGAACAAGGGCTTCCTATGGAGCACTGAACAGTCGGTGCTAAAGTCCTGCGAGTGGGCTGGGTCCTTGCATTGCAAAAGAGGGCTTCGGTCTGGGAGTTTCCCTCCTTTCTGCTCACTGGAGTGCTCTGTAGTCATTTGCCTTATATATAAGGAAGAAATTCTTCCTGGAGAGGGTGGGGAGGCACTGGGACAGGTTGCCCAGAGAAGTTGTGGGTGCCCCATCCCTGGAAGTGTTCAAGGCCAGGCTGGAGGAGTCTTGGAGAATCCTGGCCTAGTGGAAGGTGTCCCTGCCCTTGGCAGGGGGGTGGGAGTGGTTGGGCTTTAAGGTCCCTTCCAACCCAAACCATTCCATGTTTCCATGATTCTTCAGCTCAGACTTGAGGTTAAGCCATTGTGCTTCTTGCTTGGACAGTTGCAGGTTGTATGTGGACAAAGCTATGGAGGGCAGGGCAGGGATACTCTGGGAAGAGGGGGAGCACACCACAAATGCACAGTCTTCTCTGGATGTGTCTGCAGACTCGGGGATCACCGTCTCCACTTCCGTCCGCCTGGTCAGTGGCCCACATCGCTGCTCTGGGAGAGTCGAGGTGCTTCACAATGGTGTCTGGGGGACCATCTGTGGTGACGAGTGGGATTTACAGGAGGCAGTGGTTGTTTGCCGACAGCTGGGCTGTGGGACAGCAGTAGCAGCCCCTCGGAAGTCTAAATACGGGGAAGGGAAAGGCCAGATCTGGCTGAGTGACATGAACTGCACAGGGACAGAAGCATCTCTCACCGAATGCGAGGCAAAGCCATGGGGAGACAATATCTGCAACCACGTGGAAGATGCCAGCGTGGAGTGCTCAGGTAACACTCACCTCCGTCCCCCATCCTGCACATGCAGGGTGGTAGGATGGGCAGGTCCCACCACAAACATGCCCCCTGCCAGAATCGGGGCAGGTCCTCAGCCCCAGTGCAGCTCTTTGGAATTCTGCTGGTGGGAACAAGAGAGGGATGCAACAGATTAACTCATCCCATCACTGGTACCATTGTCTCCTACCCGAGACTCCTCTGGTCCCTTGTGTCACCTCTGGGCTGCAGGGTGGTTGGCATCAGCAGACTCAAAGCAGACACACAGTAGAACCTGCGGCCTACTCCATGAAGACCATGAAGCCTACTCCATCCATGAAGACCACAAAAGCTTCCTCATGCCCTTTTCCCACAGCCCCTCTTCCTCTTTTCTGTCTTCCCACCCCAGAGAAGCCCCACCCTTGACATATCTTACTGAACCTCTGCTGTGCAGCCAAGCTTTCCACAGGTGGTGGGGTGTATAGGATGCTCCCTTAACATTTATCTTCTGATCATCTGTGCAGAGGTGAGCATCCCTGAGGGGAGGCCAGTCCGTCTCGTGGATGGTCCCAACAAGTGTGCTGGGAGAGTCGAGGTCCTCCACAAGAACCAGTGGGGAAGCGTGTGTGATGACCAGTGGGACATGAAGGATGCCAAGGTGGTGTGCAAGCAGGTGGGCTGTGGGTCGCCACTGTCAGCTCTGGGAGGTGCCCGCTATGGTCGAGGGTCAGACGCCATCTGGCTGGACGATGTTGAATGCAACGGGACAGAAGAGAGCATCTTCAAATGTCAGGCCAGGCCATTGGGTGAACACAACTGTTACCACGGAGAGGACGCTGATGTTGTTTGTGCAGGTAACTAACTACCCATCACCGTGACATCTGAAGTGATGTGGGGACAGGGGCCAACATTTCTAGCAGTGACAGCAGTCTCGACTTGCAGGGTACAGAAGGGGAAACATAAGGCAGGAAGGCTCCCCCCAAATCAGGGTAGTTCTGATGGAGGCAGGGAAATGGATACAGCAGAGACCCGTAAGGAATATGGAGCATCTGGTTAGGATGGATCATAGAACCATTGAATGGTTTAGGTTGGAAGGGACCTTAAAACTCCCCTCTTTCAGTTTAAACCTGTTATGCCTTGTTCTGTCACTACACAAGGCCAGGCTGGACGAGTCTTTGAGCAACCTGGTCTAGTGGAAGATGTCCCTGCCCATGTCAGGGGAAGGTCCATTCCAACCCAAACCATTCTATGATTCTATGATTCAATGATTCTATGATACAGCCCCTTGTAAAAAGTCCCCCTCCCAGCTTTCTTGTAGTCCCTCCCCAGCACTGGAAGATGCTATAAGGTCTCCCTGGAGCCTTCTCTTTTCCAGAGGTGAACACACTACTGAGAGTCTGACTCTAGGATGGAACCTGCTGGGGAGACGCAGACAAGGGGTGTTGGTACAGGGTAGGGCTCCAAAAGGACAGAAAGAGGGAAGCTTGGGAAGTTTCTGGGGCAGGTGGTAATGACAAGCATTGGTGGGTGAAACAGTGTGTCTGGGGCAAGATGCTTCTCTATCAGTACATCATTACTCAGTAAACGCCTGAGTTGGGCTCTTGGAAGCTCTTGGGAGCTAAGGTCCTTACTTCTCATGCCCTGTTTCTTGGGAGAGAAGCTTGGACAGGCCCTGCATGGGTGAAAAGTAGAATCCCTGGGGGTCTTTGGTTTCATCATGGAGGAGCAGGGCTTGGGTTTCACCTGGTCATGCATCCAGAGCTCAGAGGTTGTGTTCCCGACAGCCTCAGATATATAGGTATAACCCAACCTACAGACCTTCTTCAGGAGAAGAGTCCTTGTCAATTCTAGCAGGCACATGAGGTTCTAGAGAGTTCCTGGGATCAGATTTTGCTTTACCTTGCTCCCTTTCTCTGCAGTTAACAAGAACCTGGAGGAGCCAGAAGCACCGTAAGTGCCAGGCTGGTTCTGTTGGATCATGTTCATCTTGCGACCAGAAGGTGGGCCAGCAAGATCCCGCTGAAAAGGCGAAGGACAGGGATGTTGCAGCACCATAACAGGGTCCATGGTTTGGCAAAACCATTCTCTCTCACCATTTGAAGAACCTACAAACCTTATTATAACTGCACTGATGGAAAACCCAGCTCAATACATTATTCCCACTGAAAAGCAAGCATCACAAAGTGTCAATAAAGTCCCCCTAAAACTGAACATCTGGCTAACTCATAAATTGCTCGTCGACCTCTGCTGCTGGAGCACATATCTGGCAGGGAACTTTTTGTGCAACATGATGAATATTTATGTGATGAATTAATACGACGAATATTTATACCAATGGTATGACAGCAGATCATTTCTCAGGTCTGCAGAGAACATTTGCCTGCACTGACATTCTGACCAGTAAGAAGGGCAGCTGTAAGAGTCCTGGGATGTGAACTTTGCACAAAAAAACTTATCTCTGCATGTTTGTCTGTCCCTCCTAAGGGGGTAACTGCTCCCCATAGGGAACAATTCACCCCTTTTCCTCGCTCCCTTATCCCACAGACTAAAGCTGGCACTTGACAAGTGGATAATTTCCCATTTCAGAGGTGTCCAACTAAGGCTTAGTCTCCAACACAGAATTTTTTGGTGTTGTGTTTTTTTCCAAAAAGAAATAGGCTTCACGTCTGTCAGTACAGCACAAATGCTTTAATCCCAACAAGGCAAAGAGCAAAGGTCTTCAGCTCAGTACTGATACGGGGTGTCTCCAAGTTAGGTGTCCAACTTGAGCTGCTTTAAAGGGAAGGACACACTGAGTCCTCTCCCTCACCTCCCCCTAGACCAGATCACCTCATTCCAAAGGAGGTTTAAAGCGCTTCATATCATAATTTTAGCAGACGCCCTGATCCAGTGTGGCTCTGGGGAGGGCAGAAATGTGGTGAAGCTGGTGGCGATCTGACCATGACCTAGAGCATCACACAGACTCACAGGGACAGGAAGTTCAGGTCCATTTACTGATTTTTGGTTGTGGATTTGGTTTTTTTAGCAGAAGAGGCACAGAAATGGTTTAAGGCTTGGAGGGGATGACTCAGAGGGACACAAGGTTCAGTTTGTCTTACTCTGATAAGGTTTCACTGCAGTGAAGGGAAGGAGGAAAGGTGCTGGTTACCCAAAACTGTCCAAGCCCATACAGCAAGAGCCAAATGCTTATGTACTGTATCTTGACATCAGCATAAGACTACTTCTATGGATTAGAGGCAATATCAGCAGCAGAGGATGAACTGGCATGAGAACTGTATGACCTGTTGGGCAGGGAAGCCATGCCATTGTGAGATGTTGCAAGGATTCAAGTTGAATTCAAGAGTCCAACAGTGTTGTCCAAATATTCCTTCCACCTCTGAGAGAAGATGCCTGGAAGCTTGTGGCAGGAATTGTAGCCAGTGGGACCGTGTGCAGGCATTCACCAAGGTACCCAGATAAGTCGCAACATCACCCAAAGCTCCTTCTACAACGAGGGGAGTGAGAGGCATTTGAGGTGATTCAGAGAGTAGATGGGATGTGCCCATGCAGAGGTCTCCCTCTCTTCATTAGCTTAGTAGGTTTCCAGGGCAAATATGCCCCTGACTGGAGCACATCAGTTGAGTGCTTGCATTTGAGTGGGATAGATCCGAGCCTCAGCTGTTTGTTTCCACTTTCAACTTCAGAAATCTGTTTTGCTTGGGTTAAATTAATGTCATACTCAAGTTGGCTGGAAATACCATCTCTCTTCTCCACTCTGGAATATCTCTGAGGTTTATATCCCACCTGGAGGGAAATGTATGCAATCCAGATTTGTAAAAGTAGCTTGCTTACGCCTGACAAGTCACTCAAAGTTACCGGAATGTGTATAAGAATGACGTTTTCAAAAATGCAAATAGGAAAAGTGTACAGCCACGTGGAGAGATGGGAAGCATCCCTCAAAAAAACAAGCTCCAACACCACACCTCCAACATCAGCTGGTGCTACATGCTAACACAAGGTTAAACTGGGAAATGACAAAGAGGCACCAGCCCCAAAATACACCACAGAAGCTTAGTGTGGACCAATACCAAGTAGGAGGGGACATGTAAGAAGGTTACCTGAACATATGATGCCCGCATCTTCTCTGTGATTACAGCTGTGGACTCCCCAACACCTTGCCACACACTCAGATAGGACTTAGTCTCTACCAGAGCATTTCACATCATCAAAC